AGGTTGCGGTGTTTACTGCGTGCTGTAAAGTAAAATAAGCAACTATGCGTGATACGGCTTCCTGGATATCTTGTCCCATGATGCAATATAACGAGTAATGAAACGGAACGACCGAGACAGAGACATTTTATGGACTCCTTCAAGCCAACGTTGAAAACTCGGAAGAAATAGTTGTTATTTCAAATTGAAAGAGATTTAAATCAAAACTTTGTCGTAACGCCTGGCCCTTAAAAAAGCTTCGACTCTCTCTCTGGTACCATATTATGCCAATCTCACAGTTCTAATTTCTAGTGGGTTTAACTCTAGTATCCGAGAACTGAAATGGGAACGATAATTGGTACTTTTATGCAGTGGTGTTTGCTTTTCATTATTTTACAAATTTGAATGTAAAGTTTCTTTTCTTTCATTTTGTACTTAGGCTTTCTAGATCTTCCTCACTTTTATATTTCTTTCTTTGTATTAAGTTTAAATGTGAACATTTACCATTTTGACAACTTGCTATGTCCACTCGCAGACATAGATGATTAGAGGACACAGTCAACGGTTCTCGTGGATTGAACAACACATATCTAGCCTGTACAGGAAGGATGAATTTCGTGGTGACTACAGCCTTACCATCAAAGAAAGGGCCAAAAAATACCTGGAAAAGAGAATCAAAGAGCACTGATGTTGCAGCTGTAATCAATACTTTCACAAGCCTATAAGGGGAAAATCACGGAATTCAAAGCTGATAGTTTCTTTACCAGCTTTACATGCTACCAAACAGGGGTATAATTTTGTGAAGTGTTTGTCGTTCTCGCTAGTTCTAAACAAGTTTAGCTCTTGGCCGCTTTAACTTGAGTGAATGGCTTTTTCTTGGTTTATTATGAGAAACGATCTGAAAATTTAAAGTATTCCGAAGTCCTTTAAGTCCATGACGAGCACTTTTAATCTGACGATCTTCTTATCTTCTTCAAATCGCGCATTTTCAATTGAAGCGTTCTTTTAAAGGTGCTCAGTCACGGTATTTTGAGTTATTTTGGCCACATACAAAATTAACTTTAAATGGTAGGAAACCTGAAAATAAAAGTTTAATAAGATAGAAAACACCAAAGAGATAATGATAAACTATAAAGGAACAAAAGATTGGGTATGCTTGTCGAAAAAATGAATTAAATTCCTATAGGAGAACAGACTGGGCAGCTTTATTTGAACCCTAATACACGCTACTTCAAACGACACTTAAAACAGAATAGGCGTTATTACCACCCGCTGTTCAGGAAAGGAGCCCGCGATTGTAGACTGGACTTAAGAGACCGGCGGAAATCGAGCCTAAAAACGGAAATGAGAACGTTTTTTGTGATAATTTCTTCTAGCGCATCCTAAAAGACACTTTGACAGCTTTTAAGCTGTCAACAATACCATTTAAAAATGGTATTGTTTCGTCGTGAAAATCCTAAGTGAGTCCAGAACCCTTGATTTATACCCCTAAGTGAGACGACGAGAATCCTCAACCTTTTCAAATGGGAGTCCCCCGGGACTATCATACTCATACACCTTATTCCAAGATGGCCACCATTTTAGGGTTCTTTTGTTTGCTTGCAAATTAGCCGTTGTTGGGGCAACAAGGGGTAATTATGAAGACAAACAAAAGAACACTAAAATGGCGGCCATTTTGGAATAAGGTGTAAACGGCAATACATTGGTTTACCTTGCGACGTGACCCTTCAAGAACGAAATTAAAATTGATGTTGTCTGTGCTGGTTTTTATGTAATATTCAGAGACTGATTTGTTAGAGTTTGCTTTTCCCTGTACAGAGACTTGTTCTACCAACATGACAGCACCTTTTAACCAAAGAAAACGAGTGTCAGTGAAGAGTTAGTATATTTATAAAATAGCACATACTATTTTCTGTTCGGTCGTTTGTTTCGTTCGTTCATTGCGATTTTAATCGTTCTTTCGTTCAAATTCGTTCCAGTTCGCAATCGGTCGTTCGTCCGTTCGCTCGTTCGTTCGTGCTTTCGTACGTTCGTTGTTTCGTCTCCTCGTTCATTGCCTCGTTCGTTTACTCGTTCGCTCGTTTAATCATTCATTTATTGGTTAGCAACTTTAATTTTAAACCAGCCCAAAATGTTCGTGCCCATTACAGGAGAAAAATGTCCATTTTCTTTATACAGGCGTCTTCATACCAGCTGAGGAAACCCCCTTGACGCGGCGGCCATTTTATCCAAATGAAGTCTGATCGCCTCTAGTGTGCACAGATAACACATGCTTCCTTAGGCTCAAAAAAGGTCAGCGGCATCATGGTAATTGAGACAAATATTCAGGATAATTATTTTGTGACTCCCTTTGAGTCTTTGTAAAGTCACTTTGTTACACTGACTTAGTTGAATACAAGGCATTTGATCTGAATATGGTCTAAACTGGTATTTGTCGTTCATGTACTACCAGTTACTAACCTAAATCAACCTTGAGATATTGGTTAGCGTTTACGACACCCGCACACCACACATCATTGCTATGAAGCACTGGGTTTCCAGGTCCCTGGCTGCTAGAAGAAGAGGTAAACTGCACATTGCCGTTGGAAGTGATCAGCGAAGTACAACTCCCAGATCCTGGTACTTAAAAGAAAGCAAAGTTAAACAAACATGTTTGTTTACCTCTCTGTGATCATGAAATTAGAGTTAACGGATTTCGGTTTCCTCTCATTGAATCTGCAAGTCAATGACTGGGCACAACAACAACAACAACAACAACAACA